GGTTGCCCTTTGCTTTTCGCCTGCTTTCGCAATCAAAGGCCTTCTATGACGACAACGGCATCACCATCGATGGCCACACCGATCTCTCCTTCACCGAGGATGTGGGCAAGCGCTTCGAGGCCTATGGCTGGCAGGCGCGGAAAGGTCACAAGGTCCAATGTCTTCTCACCAAAAGAGCTCGGAGCTCAGTTTGGTGGTTTGCCTCGCCATTCCTGCTGAAGGGAGGAATCACCTGAAGGCTAAAAGGGCTGTGACCGAACAGTGCGGGCTTTTGGACTTTCACGTCCCAACCGGGTTTCCCCTTCTTGAGAAGCCGTGGAGAAGAACCCTCTGCAGGTCTTGGAAGTGCCAGAAGGCAACACCGATGTGGATGCCATCCGCAAGGCCATCAAGGCAGGCGAATCGCATTTGGCATGAAACATGATGCGATTTGGAAGAGTGAGAAGAGCAAAGTTAAGTGAGTCTAGAGTCTGGAAACAGTATACCTCACGAGCCTGCAAAGTCACCGTAGAACTGAGTCTGAAATCAGGAACCGCATCTGAAATCAAAGGCCTGAACTGGGCCTGAACAAGTCACTCTGCTATCATCATCGCAGGAGGCGAAGGCCTGCACTGACAAGCCAACCCTGATCAAGGCCTTGCAGCAGCACGAAAACTGCTGGCTGGAGTTCGATGTGTGTGGATTGGTCGCAGGTGAAGACTACCATTGGCTTTGGCTCACCCAACAAGGACGGATTTGGGGAGAGGGGAGTATTGGTGGAATCCGCCGCTGCCAAGGCTGACAGCCATGATGCCCACGGAGCACCCCTGGGTGCAGATGAGGCGGAGGCAAGGAAAAAGGGACAAGAATGACTCGCGTTTCGACAGGATTTGGTCACGCTTGAGATTGTTTGAGGCCACACGAAAGCAGCTGGGATGGAACTACGGTGAGTTCGAGGCGCAAACTACAGAAATGGACTATACAACTTGGTCATGTTCTCTTCAAAATTCCAGAAATCTTCAAACTTCAAGAAAAGCTCTGTAGTCCGATGGTGCGTCTCATCCGCAGATTGATATATTTCCTTTGAGGTGCCAGATCAGGTGTATGACACGTTCAGGAAGCACGCCAAGGCTGGCTCTGAGAAGCAAGCGGCCTGGAATAAGATGTGGAAGGCGAGGTGAAACGGAGTTTGTTGCTAAGAAACAACGGATAAGTCTCACATGTTCAGACTGCTCAAACCACACAAAACACATGTTCAGGAGTACCAGGAGAAGGAGCCCGAGCTTGCTGCGCAGTTCAAGCGCGCGGTGATGGACCGCAAGCTCCCCGACAACTGGACCGATGCGCTCCCGAAGGCGCTGTGTCCAATAAAGCCCATTTTCACTCCCTGAAATCGAGTGATAGTGGAAGTGGATGGAATGGCTTTCTTGAAAGGAAGACCCCATTTCCCGCTATCAAAGCCGTTCCGCGTCGGGTTGCTTGCGACGTCCGCCAGGTGACTCCGGAGGACAAGGGCAAGGCCACCCGTCTCCACTCACAGGACACACCGCTCGACGCGTGTGGAAGGTGGTCCGTCAGGTGCGCGCGAGCGCCTGCGGCGAGCTGCAGGTGCGCACGAGCTGCTTGCTGCGCGTGCAGCAAGCCAGGTGAGGTCGGCGTAGGTGTGGAATTCGTGTCCACGTGGGCGAGTGAAAGTCCAGGGTCTCTGAGAGGGACATGACGTAGTTTCCAGGAGGAGGATTCTCCGCATGTTTTGATATGGGCCGTAACGGGCCGTATGGTCTTTTTTTTTGTGGGTGGAAGCTGGGTGGAAGCTCGGGCACCAAACGGTCGCCCCAAGTGCTATGGCAGGACTGCCTGAATGCCATCGCCAACGTGCTGCCTGAGTTCATGGGCGGCTCAGCCGACCTGGCTCCTTCCAATATGACTTTGTGGCTTGGAGAAGCAAAGAGTTTGGTGAACCAGTTCGTGCAAAAGTGCTTTTCTGACCCTGTTGAACTTGGATGAGGAAGCCTCAGGATTCTATTCTTGGTAGGCCAAGATGTACAGTACATTAATCGAGCTCGATCCCATTGCATTGGTGTGTGTGTGTGTGTGTGTTGCACGTGCCAGTCGAACTTGGTTTATCGTGGGATAGTACTCTGAGGATGAAGTGCACGGGCGACTTCCTGAAGGACAGCTACTCCGAGCGCAACATGCGCTTTGGCATCCGTGAGTTTGGCATGGGCGCCGTGTCCAACGCGCTGTCCCTGGACAAGACAGGTGGGGGAGAGTTACAGCTCAAAATGCTGGATCATCGAAGAGTCAAAATGGGGCTGGGACTGGGAGCTTGAGGAAAAAGGCAAGATGTATACTGACCTATAGAAGTCGAACCACCATTGTTTTAATTGCCTTTACTGAACCACCAGCTGCTTTACTAAGGGTTTTACACTACGAGTCACCGGATCGTTCCCATTTGAAACATGGTCGACTTGACATCCAGGGAGCTGAAGCTTCTCTTCTTTGTGTCATCCCGAGTCACTCTCAGCCAACGTGATGCATGTCGCCCGTTCGTCACTCGTGGCGGAGGCATCATTCCATACTGCGCCACCTTCACCATCTTCACTGACTACATGCGCGGTGCCATCCGCATTGCTGCCCTGTCACAGGCTGGTACCATCTTCGTGACCACGCACGACTCAATTGCAGTACTCGGACTGCATTCATTTGTGTCGTTCCTTCCTTTCCGTCTATTCCTTTTTCACAGCTGATTCGGTCATTGCCGGCTTTTCTTTCCTTCTGCGGCAGATTCTTTCTCGTTTTTGGACTCCGTGCGTACGATACATCCTTTTCCACGTGGTTGGGGAACCAAATGAGCTGGCTCAACCCATTGCCTCTCTCAAGTGACCGTTGAGAAAGGCAAACAACAGCTGAGGTGGGTGAGGATGGCCCAACCCATCAGCCCATCGAGACCTTGCCCTCTCTGCGTCTGATCCCGGACCTCACCGTGATGCGCCCCGCGGATGGCAACGAGACGGCGGGTGCCTACAAGCTACTGGGCTCGCAGCATGGGACACTGACCGGGGTTATCTGTAAATCAGTGACATGGGTAGCCGAAGCTTCCAGCCTCCCAAAAAGATCCATTGCTACCCCTGCCCACCGGAAGAAGAGAGTTCTTGTCTTGGGGGTCCCAAGACCGGACCTGACACTGGGCCGTTGAGGTCGTGTTCTTTTTTTTGACAATAATGTTTTTTTTGGTACCCGTAGGGCTCCAAATACCATCTGAGAAGGTGTTTGGGGTGGGTTTAGAGGGTCCAAATACCTTCTGAGGAGGTACTTGGAGCCCTACATTACGTAAATTGAAGGATTACGGGAACTTTTCTGAGTCCTTTGCTTCGCCACCTACAACTTCTTGCCATGTGTTCCCAGTATTGTCACCCTCTGCAAGCCGTGTGACACCCCACTTGCCACCGTTGCTCGATGCTCAGAAGCGAAACATTTCTGTGGGGCGAGTGTATTCATGATTTTAGACTCTCGCGAGTGTGGTCTGAGCAACCTGGATAGGCCTTCGGCCTTCGCCTTCGATTCTGAGGTATGCCGTGGAGCGCTCCAAGAACGAGTCCCGACCCACGATGATGGCCTTCTCTCGCCAGGCCGTGGACAATTTGCCCAACTCGTCCATTGAGAACACCCTGAAGGGTGAGAGACTCAGAGCACCGTCTGCGACTGGGTCGTTTGGCTCCGTCTCCACTGCCCACCGGTCGTTTTGTATGTGGGGAGGTGAGGGCAATCGCTTTTGGAAAACAGTTAAAGCCAAAAAGAACGTCACCTAATAGCAATGGCCTCCAATCTAGGAGCGATGGCCTCCAACCCAATAGCAATGGCCTCCAACCTAATAGCGATGGCCTCCAACCTAATAGCGATGGCCTCCAACCTAATAGCAATGGCCTCCAACCCAATAGCGATGGCCTCCAACCTAATAGCGACGGCCTCCAACCCAATAGCAATGGCCTCCAGCCTAATAGCGATGGCCTCCAACCTAATAGCGATGGCCTCCAACCTAATAGCGATTGCCTCCAACCCAATAGCAATGGCCTCCAACCTAATAGCGATGGCCTCCAACCTAATAGCGATGGCCTCCAACCTAATAGCGATGGCCTCCAACCCAATAGCGATGGCCTCCAACCTAATAGCGATGGCCTCCAACCTAATAGCGATTGCCTCCAACCTAATAGCGATGGCCTCCAACCCAATAGCGATGGCCTCCAACCTAATAGCGATTGCCTCCAATCTAATAGCGATGGCCTCCAACCCAATAGCGATGGCCTCCAACCCAATAGAGCCTCCAACCTAATAGCGATGGCCTCCAACCTAATAGCGATGGCCTCCAACCTAATAGCGATTGCCTCCAACCTAATAGCGATGGCCTCCAACCCAATAGCGATGGCCTCC